TCCCGGACAAGACGTATAGGAACGCTACAACGAGGGGTGATGCTTGTACACCATTACGTTCAACCTTTCGCATGTAGGTGTTAGCCAACCCATCCCGTGAAGGAAGGCCCAGTCAGTATTCAGTTGTGCATGTATTGTATGACGCGGCTTTGGTGAGTGAGAGATAAAACAAAGGACAGAGTAAAACTTCCATGTTCTTTGTCAAACCCTAAACTGAGTGTTAACGATGCCGGCAAACATTCCTGAATATACTGGATTGCTTTGAAAGCTTAATCACTGCCAGCGGGATTTTGTACCAATTAAGATCATCTTTTCAAAATGCTTTCAATAAAATTGATGATGGGGTTGTGGTTTAAGTGTTCGCCAACCAACAGGGTTGAATTCCACATAGGTTCTTTTGTGAGTATATTCATACATTTCTTTGAAAGGCATTTAGAAGTGATACACATAAGGAAGAGAATTTATGGATGTCAACTTCTTTATTAAGAGGAACACAACGTTTCGGAGTATATGCTTACTCCTTCATTCACCTGATGAAGGAGTAAGCATATACTCCGAAACATTATATTCCTCATAATAAAGAAGTTGACATCCATAAATTCTCTTCATTATTCATTATTAATACAAGACACACGTGACGCAAATGAGATGAGGGTTTGACCACACAGGAAATATCGAGGGCGTTTTATCGATCTGTTCCAGTCACACAGTATCGATTTCAGGTCAATATATATTAGTATCTTGAAACATAAGTCACTCCCTTAATGTCAAACAATGAGTGTTACACTGTCGAACTTTGCTAGTTGCCTTCCTAACAAGGTGACGCGTGTGACCTTTGTGTGAAAAAGAAAGCCAATCACGTGAAAAGATGGAAGCCTACCAAGCTGTTGACACGAAATCGCGTGAGAACCCTTCACATGCCGGTGACTATGCAAATATTGTCCTAGGTAAATAAAGTCTGGGATCATTAGACTACCGTGAACATTCGACTGCGGTACCGGTGGTGTCCCTGCTTGTTCACTCTATTTGCATTCACGTTTATACTTTTTTGAGACACTGGCTAGTTTGGACAGTCTTTTATATCTTAAAACGCATGTTTCAAGAAAAAGATATACGGTGTGAGGTTTGTGAGTGGACGTTGAACACCGCACCTGGTTAAACAGACACCAGATATACGGCGGTATTGCCTTCATATATAATTATGTGAAACTATGCCCATTGCAAATATCCTGGTTCAGAGAAAATAAAAATGTTTTGAAACTGTTACAACAGCGTGGAGGTTGAAATATCTCAGCGTTTGACCGCCTTAAACAAGGAGTGGCACATACGAAATACAGTTTCATGTATTCCCAAACCATACACCCTCTTCTTTGAAAATTATATAGATACCTGTCAATTGATGTTCCACCCAAAATGATGTATACAGTGCAACTTGGGTTTTCGATAACCTAAGCCTCCCACCCCACCCAACCCCCCACAATTAAAACCGTCATGTGACGTCATGGCCATGGCGTGAGTCGTTGGGTGTGTGGGTTGTACGCCGCCTTGGAACAGTACATCAGGTAATTAATCGGCGAATTCACGTCATAGCCATGGAATGGCGGTTTGGTGAGTGAGTGAGTTAAGTTTAAGGCCGATTTGAACAGTATTTCAGCTATTCACGGCGGCAGGAAAGGCGAGGTGAGGTGAAATGGGGGTGAAATTTAACGTCGCGTCCAAGATTATTGCACTTATATAGCGACGTGCATGTACGTGTGTGTGTTTGTGTGGCTGCTTGTACTAGTCCGGACTGATGCCGATTTATAGTGCTAGCTCACTGAGATACCATGCCGCAGTTTAACATGAATATACCCCACTCAGACACAGTATACTGACTCCGAGCCGACCAGTCCTTGTTTTAAACCCCTTAATGCCGAGCGCCAGACAGGGTAACAACAAGTACCATCTTTTAACGTCTTTTGGTGTCACGCGGCCGGGGATCGAACCCCGGACCTTCCGCTCTCCGGGCGGACGCTCTACCACTAGACCACGGAGGCGGTCACGGCGGCAGGAAAGCCCCAAAAAGGGCGCAGATTGTTGATGTATACTAGGCGCTGACATACAACGTTTTCTCTGAACAGAGAACATCTCCTCCTGAAGATGCCTCCTACCTAGAATAGCCTGGCGTAAATAACGACTGATGTGGTTCGGTTGGTTTACAGCGTGTTACCTTGGTGAATATATATTTTTTGTAAATTTAGAATTTGATTGCATAATTTCAATGTATATATATATGTCGTAAAGCTAAAGATATTGATGTTGTTAATAGTATATCTACCAATTGTTACAGGTTTGTTTATTTGTTTGTTGTTTAACGCCGACCTCAACAATATTCCAACTATGTAAATGTAACTACTGTAAATAATCGAGTCTGGACCAGACAATCCAGTGATTGCCATCATGAGCACCGATCCACGCAATTGGGATACCATGACATGAATCAACCAAGTCAACGAGGCTAACAGCCCGATCCCGTTAGTCGCCTTTTTCGACAAGCAATGTCCCCTTTTACGGCAAGCATGGGTTGCTGAATATCAATCCTAACTCGGATCACCCCGGTTGAAATTGACGATGAATTCCACGTCATATTCAAGTGTAACAAGTGTTTCAGTTCAAGTTCTACATATCTCTTATCTTGAGTAAAGACCCTAAATCTGAAATGTTATGATCAATGTTAGCTCATAAAATGTACGTGTTATCTTTCCACTTACTGTATTTGACGTAATAAGCGCCCCGCTCTAATAAGATCCCACGGCGACATTTGCCAAGATATTAGCTAGTGAACAATCCCAATTAGCACCCCTTCCGATTGATCAATGTACCCAAGACTGATTTATTCGCGTATAATACGCACTCGTGTGTTATATGCACCCTTAATTATGGGCATTTAATTCTGGAAAAATATATCTGTCGTACATAAACATTTCAGACTGTCAGCCTAAACCACGAAATTTATCTTTCAACTCTGTTTTTTTCACCAAAATAACATTCTAATAAGAGCCCCCTATTTCTAATTTTGAGAGCGCCCTGGGCGCTTATTACGTCGAATACGTTATTATTCTTTTCAGTTGTTACTTTCTTAAAAAAAAATTTAAATATCAGATTCAAGAAGATGTATGTATATTTACGTGACAGGTAGTATTTTCTGTTTTAGTATGAGTAAAAACGGAATGTCTGTTTGTCCGTCTCTGTGTCTGTGTCCCAACGGTGTGTATCGTTGCTCATGCTGTCAACCACTGGTTTACCTGGGCACAGAAATCCATTTATACAATCAAACACCTCACTCTCTCATACATCCATAGAGAAGTGTTTGATCTTAAAACGGGCAAAAACTTTCATTCTTTCATCAGACCGCCGGATTTCTGTGACCTGGTAGCTTCCAGGAGACACGTAATGTGCTAGACTTGCTTCAGTCGCTCTGAACAACTCGGAACCCATGGGTACCGTTGACGGTGTATTTGTCCTGGACGAAAGTCAAGTGCAGACCAAATAGACTTGCTTCTTGGCTCATACGAAGACTAATGAAAACGACACACCTGCCACTTGACATCTCGCTCTGTGTACTGCCGAGCACATCTGTCACTGGGATAATTGAATCCCGAATGAAACAGACTTATCCCAGTCTCCCAGAGTAACTATACCGCCTTCCACAGGGTTTCAGCCATATAATGGCGTCAGCACGGAGGAAAGCTAAGTAACGCAGGACGTCATGCTTACCGAATAACACACGCTAGCTCGAGTATGTTTGTTTGTTTGTTGTTTAACACCGCACTCAGCAATATTCCAGCTATATGACGGCGGTTGCACGGGTATGATGCTGACAGATCATGGATCATACTGATGGAGTGAGTGAGTGAGTGAGTATGGCCTTACGCCGCTTTCAGCAATACTCCAGCAATATCACAAATGGCTTCACACACTGTACCCATGTCGGGATTCGAACCCGGGTCTTCGGCGTGACGAGCGAACGCTTTAACCACTAGGCTACCCGACCGCCCCTCATACTGATGGACCATCAGCCCCAAATCAGCGGATCATGACATGGTGAAGGGACGCAACTCTGCACACAAGTTGACAAATTAAAAGCGTCTGAAACCCTGACTATCGATTCACACCACCACGGCGCCGTCCCACAAATCGATGTTAATGCGATGATGATCGTAAGCCATTGTTAAAGATTGGGAGTTAGATCACCTTAGCACTAAAACCGCTTTGTTGACCGGAGCCCAGAGCATGATGACGCGCACCGAGTGTGAGTGAGTGTTGTCGAATACTGCAGCACCGTAGAGTACCAAGAAGTGGCTGCACAATTATGTAGGGAGTCAGTGTCCTGTGTTAATAAGAATGGCTATCGAATTCATGATATTCAATTATCAAATATAGATTTTTAAGAAAAAGATATGTACTCTATCGAAAGCCGATGCCAGGCGTAAATAACACCCCTTAGCGGAGACTTTGAACGATAATGCATTCTACACGCATACTGACGAACAACACAAAAATGTATAAATTTCTTTGAGAATTGGTCTAGATATATATATTTTTAATATGAAAAATCTGATAGATCCGATAAGGTAGCATGATACGAAAACCAAAATAAATACTCCAAATGATTTTTTGGAGTGCAGCGGTGATGGTTGGTTCGTGTGAAACATGTCAAGGATGGACACATCAACTTGAAAATTACATTTGACCAAATATTTATGAACTTTATCAAAACGTTACTAGATTGAAAACAGTCGCCGAAACACTACAAACTCCAGGTTCAAAACACAACTATGATACCCGTATAAAATACATCACCATCGAATAACCATTTTTTTTTGTAATTTTTAGCCACCATCAAACATGGGTGATTTTTTTTTCTCCGGCAGTTTAGTTAAGTCAGTGATAGAAAAGTCATTAAATGATCCTTGGGATACAAAACTATAAGAACATTCACAATAAAAAAAGATACTTACAAATGACAGAGGTAGGTGCAATGTTCCCACGTCCAGTGGGTTTAACAACCCTTAAGCCTATCCTACCTTCTCCGGATTGCCGCAGTGTACTGCAACAGCATCACGAGTTGTCTCCCCTGGTAACACCTGCGTACGATGTGGTCCAACAGGTATACATACATACAGACAGTGTGGGGAGAGGTCGGATGGCTAACGGCAGTATCATCATACTTACTGTTTTAAGAGCTTTTCATTGTGTGTGCACCGAATACAGTAAGGCTCTAGACAATGTGGTTAGGGTTACAAGGAAGGATATGTGAAGTTATCCGCCCAATACAAACACTACAGCCGGTTTATCTCACGAGGGTATTTTCATCTTAAATGGGACACAAAATGGCCATTCTCCTTCAATGTCCAGAGTGTTAGTTGAGGCTCGTCAAAATTCATGTTCAGACGTAAATGAAAATCATGAAAGAAATTTTCGTACTTGTTGTCATGGAATAATTGGCAATTACGATAGATATTTTCTTTTTATATATCCGCCTTGTAAAATAACCAAGACTATTTTAACAGAAACCCGATATTAATTAAATCAACTAGATGATGAATAGGTTATTTTTCATCGAAAGTTGTTTTCCATTGAACGATATTTTCCGTTGAATGCTTTTTTCATTGAATGATATTTTCCGTGAAACGTATGTTCCATAGCTAATTTGTTCCATCGAATGTAATGTTCTGTTAAATGGTATGTTCCGTTAAATGTTATATGCTCCATTTAATGTTGTATGTTAAATGGTATGTTCCGTTAAATGTTATATGTTCAATTAAATGTTATATGCCCCATCGAATGTAAAGTTCTGTTAAATGGTATGTTCCGTTGAATATTACATGTTCCGTTGAATGCTTTTTTCATTGAATGATATTTTCCGTGAAACGTTATGTTCCATAGCTAATTTGTTCCATCGAATGTAATGTTCTGTTAAATGGTATGTTCCGTTAAATGTTATATGCTCCATTTAATGTTGTATGTTAAATGGTATGTTCCGTTAAATGTTATATGTTCAATTAAATGTTATATGTCCCATCGAATGTAAAGTTCTGTTAAATGGTATGTTCCGTTGAATATTACATGTTCCGTTGAATGTTGTATGTCCCATCGAATGTAATGTTCCGTTGAATGTTATATGTTCCGTTGAATGTTATATGTTCCGTTAAATGTTATATGTTCCGTTAAATGTTGTATGTTCCGTTAAATGTTATATGTTCCGTTAAATGTTATATGTTCCGTTAAATGTTGTATGTTCAATTAAATGTTGTATGTTCCGTTAAATGTTATATGTTCCGTTAAATGTTATATGTTCAATTAAATGTTATATGTTCCGTTGAATGTTATATGTTCCGTTAAATGTTATATGTTCAATTAAATGTTGTATGTTCCGTTAAATGTTATATGTTCCGTTAAGTGTTATATGTTCCGTTAAATGTTATATGTTCAATTAAATGTTATATGTTCCGTTGAATGTTATATGTTCCGTTAAATGTTATATGTTCCGTTAAATGTTATATGTTCCGTTAAATGTTATATGTTCCGTTGAATGTTATATGTTCCGTTAAATGTTATATGTTCCGTTGAATGTTATATGTTCCGTTAAATGTTGTATGTTCCGTTAAATGTTATATGTTCCGTTGAATGTTATATGTTCCGTTAAATGTTATATGTTCCGTTGAATGTTATATGTTCCGTTAAATGTTATATGTTCCGTTAAATGTTATATATATGTTCCGTTGAATGTTTTATATTCCGTCAAATGTTTTTTTGGTAATATGAACCATGAGACCTTCATACAAATTCAATGTACTGTGACTTCGCAGTTTATTAAAAGGGGATTATATGAATATTTCATATAAAGTTAATGACAAGCAAGTTTACAAACACAGCCTGCGTTGTATATAAAATTTAGTACAATATCCGCACTTTTATCACCCCTTCTATTGGTCAAGGTTGTATACCACCAAATAATCAGCACTGCGAAAACAAACAGGAAAACATTACTTCGGTGCACGGTCAAAGCCACTCGGCTCCCCTTGGCAGGTTTCGCTACCAACACAACACTTGTGTTGAGGTGATTCGAATTGGTCATAAATAGTCTTCACGGAGTTACTTCCCTTTTCCTCGCAGCTGGGTAACTACCTGCCACGACACCGGTCTTGTCCGAGAGCTGTTTCCTGGCTAGGGATAAGATTAGCGTAGTTTAGCACAGACACGTGTACAATATCATTATCTGTCTATAGTCAACTGTAGACATGTGATCAGCGTAGCACTAGGTCCGAGGTTCTGGTCATCGGGGTAAGGTTGGGCGTGGCAGGTGTTTTTGACAGCTCTGGTACTATGGAAAACGGACCGCGCACCTGCGATACAGATTGCTGATGAAATGGATAGGCTTTCGTCTCCAGTCCTCTTGACATACTTCCAGGACAACTAGGGAGGATGTCTAGCGGCACAATATGGTATGTTTGTTTATGTTTTCAAGAACAGCTACGTGTTATGATTATGATCATGACCCGGTGTCAATGGAATTATTTCCTTCCGTCAGAAAGTTCCGACCTTTAGCTGCAATGCATGTTTGCCAAGGTCGTGTATTCCAGTTTTTTGTCCGTAGCATTTCGTGGATGTTTTGCTCGCTGGTAATACGTTAGAGCTAGAACGGATTAGAAACTGATGCGTTTTGCGTTAAAATGGATCTTATACGTATTAAATACAAACAATAAGTTATAATTTTCATATTTTATGAATGTATAGAATAATAGTTATACAAACATTGCAAATGGAGAGTTGAGGTGAAATGGGGTTTAACCTCGCGTCCAAGATTATTGCACTTATCTAGCGACGTGCATGCGCGCGTGTGTGTGGCTGCTTGTACAAGTCCGGACCAATGCCAATTTTATGGTGCTAGCCCACTGAGATACCATGCCGCAGTTTAACATGAATACCCCTCTCAGACACAGTATACTGACTCACAGCCAACCAATCCGTGTTTTAGCCCTTAAATGCCGAGCGCCGGGCAGGGTAACAACAAGTGCAATCTTTTTATCGTCTTTTGGTATGACGCAGTTGGGGATTTAACCCCGGACCTTCCTCTCTCCTGGCGGACGCCCTACCACTAGACCACGGAGGCGGTCTCATTGTAAATGGAAATCCCAGTTTCTGTATATTCCTTATTGGCATATGAAATCTAATCTTTGGCTTATCCAGATTTATGATAAAGCATGATATACTGATCTATGTTATATTTAGTATGGTACTTCGCCTGGAGAGCGGAAGGTCCAGGGTTCAATACCCAGCCGCGTCATACCAAAAGACGTTAAAAGATGGTACTTGTTGTTGCCCTGTCTGGCGCTCGGCATTAAGGGGCTTAAAACAAGGACTGGTCGGCTCGGAGTCAGTATACTGTGTCTGAGTGGGGTATTCATGTTAAACTGCGGCATGGTATCTCAGTGGGCTAGCACTATAAATCGGCATCAGTCCGGACTAGTACAAGCAGCCACATACACACGCATACACGTGCATGCATATCGCTATATAAGTGCAATAATCTTGGACGCGACGTTAAACCGCATTTCACCTCACCTCACCTAGTATGGTACTTGATTTTAAAATTTTCTCGTTGCCAGGGTGACGAAGATTGGTTACCCGATGAGGAATTCCGGATCCTGAGCCGCGGTGCGAAGGAGAAGGTTTACCTGAAGATCAAACGTCGTTCTGGACTCGACACCTTACGTCATCAGGAACTGGAGGCTGCTTCTGACTGGCTACCGTTTGAGAAGCGCCAAGACTGCACAAGAGCAGGTTCCATCCCTTCACAAGAACCAGCAGCTGATACTCTCCCGATAAACCTAGACTTTGCTCTCACGCACAGAACAAGGGACAGAGACAGACGGCCCTTCTCTAGTATGGCTGAGATAGGAGGAGGGTATCCTGATTCAATGAGATCGCCCTTATGCATGTCAGTGGAGACTGGAATCCCATCTGCAGTTGAGTCTCTATTAAACGCTGGCTATGACATCAACTGTAAGGATTCTGATGGAAACAGCCCACTCCATGTCGCCATCTTCTCTCGTTTCTATGACATCACTAAACTGCTGCTTCGACATGGCTGCGTTCTAGGTGTGTACAACAAGGCAGGGTTCACCCCCCTCCATGTCGCGGTACTCCATCGTGATGAACATGCCCTCAGCATCATCTGCAACTACCAGAGGATCCACGGAAATGCAGGAGGACCCATAGCTCCTGACCACTACGCGTGTCCTGCCATCGACCTCCGAGCGTTGTTTTCCGGAGAGACCTGTCTCCATATTGCAGTAGAACAGAATAATCTAGAGATTGTGAAGATTCTAGTTCAAGAAGGTGCTGCAGTAGATGCGGTTAACTATTACTCACAAACCCCACTGGTGCTGGCGTCTCGGTATAACTATCACGACATTACTAAAGTCTTGCTGAATTACGGTGCTGACCCTAACGTTACAGGTTCGTTTGGAAACCAGAGAAACACTCCTCTTGGTCTTGCAGCTAAATACAACTACTACCAGCTTGCCAGGGTGCTGGTGGACCATGGAGCTGATGTCAACCTCCGTGACGACAGTGGACCCAGCCCACTCTTCACAGCGTTGTTGTGTGAGTCTGAAGATGTTGCCACCTTCTTCCTCACTGAATGTCCCGAGAAGGGTCTCGATGTGACGGTTTCGCGAAGGAACGGGGAGACAACCCTACACGCCCTCATGTCTTTCAAAGGAGAAAAAAGAACCGAGTTTGCTCGAATCCTTGTTAAAGGCGGATGCCCGGTGAATCAAGCTAACAGGGCCCGGCAGTTTCCTCTCCACGAAGCCGTGGCGAGATACGACCGGTCCATGGTATCCACACTGTTGGATCTAGGTGCTGACATGCATGTGTTCGACAGGTGGGGACAGAACGCTCTCCACATAGCTGTAGCAATAGGCCAGCTAGACACGACAAAGCTTCTTCTCGCGTCAGGTGCTGACATGGACTCACAAACATCCTCAGGCCGAACGTCACTTTTTCTTGCCCTTGATCAAGGTCATTTCAATATCGCAGAGTTTCTAATCCTTCATGGCTGTGACCTGACCCTCGAACCTTACCTTCTTGTCCCAGACTCCCCTCTTACTGTCCGCCCCGTTCCGGAAAGTCGTAAAAAGCCCCCCTTTGCACTGTCAGCTGATCTCGCCCTCCTCGGTCGCCTGCAGACCCAGGCGTCAGGTCCGTGTTGTCTGTTTGTCCTCTCTGTCCGCCGAATAAGACAGTGGTTCACTAAACTGGCAATTCCTCTGAACAACACGTACGATCTGCCAATCCCTTTGTTTCTACAGAGATTCCTGTGCTACAACATAAACCGGAAGTCGGACTTGGCGCGTCCTAAGTAGCGAGTTGTTGGTAGTCGTAACTTCCATGTAGGGTTCTGTTGGTCGTGTTGAGTCTGTATCGGGGGATGTTAAAGCCAAAATGTAAAACATAATTAAACTCTTCTGAAAAAATATCAACTCTTGTAGGAAGACGTAAGGAATAATTTAGCTGGAGGTGTCACGATTATTGAAGACGAGATGCATCGCGGTACTTGCCACACGATACGATGTTTTCCACGATATCTACAGCACGATCCGATGTTCCTCGATACTTACAACATGCTCCGATGTTCCTCGATACTTACAACATGCTCCGACGTTTCACGTTACTTACAACCTGCTCCGTCGTTTCACGTTACTTGCAACATGCTCCGACGTTTCACGTTACTTGCAACATGCTCCGACGTTTCACGTTACTTACAACCTGCTCCGACGTTTCACGTTACTTGCAACATGCTCCGCCGTTTCACGTTACTTACAACATGCTCCGACGTTTCACGTTACTTACAACATGCTCCGACGTTTCACGTTACTTACAACATGCTCCGACGTTTCACGTTACTTACAACCTGCTCCGTCGTTTCACGTTACTTACAACATGCTCCGACGTTTCACGTTACTTACAACATGCTCCGCCGTTTCACGTTACTTACAACATGCTCCGCCGTTTCACGTTACTTGCAACATGCTCCGACGTTTCACGTTACTTACAACCTGCTCCGACGTTTCACGTTACTTACAACATGCTCCGTCGTTTCACGTTACTTACAACATGCTCCGACGTTTCACGTTACTTGCAACATGCTCCGTCGTTTCACGTTACTTACAACATGCTCCGCCGTTTCACGATACCTCTCATTTGAACCTATGTGTTGGCGTAACTTGCCACAGTATGGGCTGTTCCACAGTTGCCAAACGATTTGATATGTTTCACAAAACTTAAGATGATAAAATATGTTTCACTACAACATTTGGAATCAGGTCTTTGAAAGGCATTTAGAAGTGATACACATAAGGAAGAGAATAGATGGATGTCAACTTCTTTATAATGAGGAACACAAAGTTTAAGAGTATAGGCTTACTCCTTCACCAGGTGAATGAATGCCATGAGGCAAAGAGCATATATATGTACAGGTAAGGACAACAAAATTAATAAGATACCAAAAGGTGGAAACTTTACAGTAAAGTAAAGTATTGGCTTCCATAGTTTATTGCTAATCACCTATAGGCGCCAATTACCTGTTGGCTTCCCTTGCGAAAACTCTTTCTGAAATGCAAACGAAAACAGGTTCGAAATTATCGAATTTATCGCTTTTACACTGTATCGTGGGCATAAGTATCGCGATACATCGATTCTATGATGAATCGTGACCTTCCTTTGTTGATTTCTTTTTAAGGTGAAGGGACATGCGTGAATGTCTACGTTTAATCTGTGCCTGTGTGTGAGGTGTACTGTTGAATTTCACTAAGGTGTGATAGAAGACAAGCATTGTTATTTGGCAGAGTAAAACCCCAATCACTTTTGTTGTGGCGTATTTTTCTTATTGTTGTAAGGGTATAGTATTTACGAGTAATAAAACAAATGAAAAAAACCAAATCACATTTTGTTTATTTACATTGACGGAAGCACACTGGAGAGACAGGATACGCTGTTCTTGGGTTCGAACCTTACTCGATTTTGATTCTTGTTCTGTCAGCACCATGCTGCCATGCCGTAATATAAATGAGTATTGGTCAAACGCAGTAGTTTTAACAATAGTCATTAAATGTTTATCATTAAAATGCAAGAATTCCAAGTAGCAGAGATTCCCATTGACCCGTGAAGATCCGGGTTAGAATAGGTCTTGAGCAACCCATGTTTGCCGTAAAAGGCGAACTAAGGTGAGAGGCGACTAACGGGATCGTTGTAAACAGCGATTGCTAATTTACATACGGAAGGTATTTTAAATTGATATGACGGTAACTATTCTTATTTATTTACAGAACAACATTTAAAGGCGTGCCACGACGGCAAGCGAGTCCTGTGCAACTTTTATGTGCGCTTCGTTGACTTTATTTTCAATGCGTGGCTTACAAGAGTTACCTCCCGTTGATCAGACCTCAATCTTGCTTTGCTCCGTTAAGCCGTTGAATACCAGAAGGACACGGTAATCGATTATTTAGTTCACGCCGGTATTCCACAGACGTTCTTTCAGCATTTTTATCTCAGCGAAACTATCACAATAACGGTACTGGTTCAACCTTAAGTCTGTCCGTTACTGTTAACTCTCATTTCCAATTAAATTAAATTAATAACTACATTAATTTTGGGTAAATTTAAAGGCCACACAATGAACGCCGAACCAAACATGTATGCAGTGGATTCCCGTTAATCCAGACGATACCGTTCCCTGTGAAATCGTAAGGATTAACACAAGTCCGGATTAACGAGATTAAGATGGGTGTGTTAGAAGGTCTGTTTAATATGAACTGCTGGACAGAAGAAAGTGAACACTCATATTAAATGGTGGCTAAAATTGAAATAGACAATAAATGGTTATTCGATGCTGATGTATTTGATACGGGTATCATTGCTGTGGACCTTTTGGACCTTAATCCAATTTTCAAGTGTATACTTTCTTTTCCCGGCAGTTTATATTTTTTTTAAATATGTATTTAATAATAGTGAACGTGTATCTAAATTGCATGAATTTTGTTGTTGTTCATATAGTTGTAGAATATTTTCACTTGTATCTGGCTTGTTTTTTTTTCATATTTTATATGTGATATTGACCAATACAGTTTTACTGCGAAGGTTGTTTATGAATATATAATTAATTTTGTACTCAGCGCTACCTGTATGAAATTTTGCCGATGCAGCGTCACTTACTCACTCACTCACCCATCCATCCACTCAATGGGTTGCAGTATCTGATCTGGATGGTGTCATTGCTCCACTCACTCACTCACTCACTCAATCACTCACCCACCCACCCACCCACCCACACCCACACCCACCCACCCACCCACCCACACCCACCCACACACACACACACACACACACACACTCACACACACACTCACTCACTCACTCACTCAATCACTCAATCACTCATTCACATATACATTCATGTGTCACACGTATTTGATGGGTTTCCAGATAAACCAGGCCCCACTATTCCCCCCTTTTAAGCCAGAATGCGTAGGTAATCTCGAACTTTGGCTCAGCCATACGTATACTAGTATATAAGGGGCTGTATTGTGCTTGTGCAAATACGGGTTTCCTTCATTTACTTATATCCAAACCAAATTTAACATATCCTTCGTGAATAAAAACTAGAGCGGAAGTCTGTCTCAACATGATCCGAGGTCCGCCCTCGGAAGTTGACAAACATATTTGTTTACTTTTTTAGTCTGACGAAATATTTATGACGCTTACGCCCAAAATGAAATGACAGATTTATACAGGATTGTTTGTCGTCTGGATTTTTTATACATTTTTTAATTCCAATGACACTGGGATGTTTGAGATTAAATGCACACATCTAGTTACATAATCTTAGGCACACATGTGCATGTTAATTTGTTATGCGATATTCTATTTATCGACAAATCATTTATTTTGACGGACTCAAGAAGCGGGAAGGGGGCAATGTTACATTTCAGGCAAATCATGAAAAATAAAATTGTTAAAATGAAGACGGATGCTCAATTCCTAGTATGTTACGGATGCGAACGTGGGGCCTGATACGTATCCAGGCAACAGTTGTATATATGGATTAATGCTTAAAACGGCATAAACTCAACTATGTCAATATATATATATATATATATATATATATATATATATATATATATATATATATATATATATATAACCCAGTCTCTGAATATACACTTCATTCGCGCTGCACGTTGTATAACTCGGTAATAATCAAATCGTCACATTCGTTTTCCCTATATAATGTTTCTGTTTCGCGGAATTGTACACAGGCACCGTCAATTGGTTAATACGGCGTCAGGAACAAGACTATGACGTCAAATTCAAGACTTTGACGTCACATTCAACATCTCCCATACTCGATAGATTCGAAATAGTTGCATAATTTGAATAATAGCTACGCCAACTGGCCGTGCCATATTCGGAGAACAACCATAAAACTACCACGAATTAGCATGATGTCCTGGCAGAATGATGTTTTAAGTTCCAAGTAATTTAGCGGCGCACTTTCAGAGCAGCGGGAACGAGATGTTGCTGCGAGGATATTATACCAGGCACCTTCAGACGAAATAAACACGAGGATCATTGTTATATCCATGTTGAAAAGTGACGACATCCGTATTCCTAATTTTTTATTGAACAGAACAAAATTTAGTTTGTCTTTTTAAGGGGGCACGATTGGCCCAGGAGTCTGAGGCGCCGCAATTCGTTGTGCAAAGTTGGGTCCCCCGCTGTTTCCTGTGTAGAGTTGCGTCCCGTTGGTGTACCAGAATACTATGATCGCTGACTTTGTGTGCTGGCGATTAGGTGCCTCACTCTGGCAGTGTGGGTTCGAATCCCGGATTGGACGCAACCCAAAAATGTTCGAGAATCTGTACTTTACTAAGAAAGCGTTATCCCAAATATAGCATTTGTTACATACTAGGATCGTCGGTTCGAATGCCTTGTTCAACTTGATAAAGGTTCTTGGATTGTCAGCATCATACCCGTGCTCGTGGGTTTCACCTAAAAGTGGTAAACGTCTAAAACCTGCATCACTTCGGGCTTTCCTCCCACATCAGGGGCGGTCGGGAAGCCTTGTGGTTAAAGCGTTGGCTCGTCACGCCGAAGACCCGGGTTCGATTCCCGACATGGGTACAATGTGTGAAGCCCATTTCTGGTGTCCCCCGCCGTGATATTGCTGGAATATTGCTAAACTCACTCACTCACTCACTCACTCACTCACTCCTCCCACATCAAGCCGACATGATGTGATATAACAATACTGTTCAAAGCGGCGTTAAATCCAACTCACTCACTCACTCCCCTGTTTAAGGAAATAGCCGGTGTCTTTGGAGATACTGATTCATAGAACAAAGTTCTTCCTCGACTGATTTCAATAAAAGTAAACTTAAAGTTCGCATTAGGGTACACGTGGCTTGTCTGAATATTAACGGGTTCGTGTAAAACTCAAATATTAAGGCGTGGTGCATTACAAATTCATGATTTGTCTTTGGAAATACAACATAACCGACAAGAGAAAACCCAGGTTAGAATATGAAAGTAAAATTTAAAAAGTTTTGTTTGACTTTCTAATTTATATGAATAATAAACCGATCTCACGTTACTAGTTGCTATAAAATGACTTCTAATAGAGCATTATTAGCGATTCCGACCCGAGCATGATCAAGTGACCGTTATTAGGATCTAGAGTATAAACGTAGTGTAAGAGCCGAGATATAACTTATGAATTATTGCCATTATATTGCTGTTGATGCCGATTAAAGAGATTTTGAAATAAGCGTATGCATTTTTCACAAGAAAACCACCAAGTTGGGGTTATGGAATAATTTGAATTCAAATTTCTGTCATAAATTGGCATCTTGTAAAACGATATTGTCATACAATAGAGGTTGTAATACCATCAATCTTGTAACACGATTCTTGCAGACGTGGCTCTCACTTAGTGTTGGGTGACATAATCATCGCTTCATAATGTTCATTCTATATTCAAATATCATATTATATTTGCCGTACAATTAACCGAGAAGACGGTTTATCTTGTATGTAATTAAGGGGGCTCTGCTAAACCGGCTTTAATTAACTTTCCTCCCTCAACTTTTTAATCACAGATACCGTGAAATTTTCATCGCGATAAAAAATGTAAAAGTTTAATTACAATGCGCTCGTTCGTTGCTGTGGCTGTGGGGTTTGTATGCCAATACGGGAATGTCCTAATTAATCTGTCTGCAAATTTCACTTTAACCACCAATGCATTGAATTAGGTTTTTTCATCTTTTAAAACTATTTTGTAATTGTCATTTATCATCTTCATCATTGCGTCAGGAAATTGAGGTTGGATTTAGGGGTGTTATGCGCTAATCCGTGTCTTAGTCGCGAAACCGCCAAAATGGCCGCCTCCACAGATAGGAGCGTGATACGTCGCTGTGACGTTCAAGGTCAAACCACAAGGTCATCTGTAAAAGATATAACTTGCCGATTGGCGAGAATCTTTTTCACGCCTAATGGCTAAGCGATTGCTTTTATTCATCAAAAATCATAGCGCTAAGCCGCAAAATTTTCATAAAACCGCAGAATTATACGAAATCAGTGAAGCGTACACTGGACGGCGTGTCTCTGTATCGTGGGTTGAGGTGCCATTGACTTAAATACATCTGGTAAACACCAGGCTGTATTAAGGATGGAACCCACCCCTCAGCGGAAAGAGAAACGTAAATGAAACAAATAGGTGTGTCGCGACCGCTTGTCTGTTATAAGCGTGGGTTTTCAGGTACAATATTCTGTATTGTATTTTATCAAATTTGTTTATTCACTGCTGTTTTTAACTTGAAAATATTTTCTCATTTAATTATGAAGACATCACTTTGTTACACTTGCAATCGTATAATGTTGGTTGG